AAAATAAATAAGTTCTTGCAGGACTAAAAGTTTAAACTCAGAGACTTGTAATACGTCACTAAATTCTTAAGTTGGCTTAAGACAAAGAGAAGAGCCAGTTCCACTGTATATGATGATCTATTGTTTTGGCTCTCATATATTTTTAAAACAAAAACAGCCAAAAAACTGACAATTATTACCCATTCATGGCCAGATCACAAAACAGAAAAAGGGTCCTCCATAGCCTATATTCTCTCACCCCTTTGTCCCCAAAAAATTAAGTTCCAATCCTAATACAATCCATTTAGAATTTAATTCCAATCCCATCTCATTCATTACAGCAAAAATAGACATAAAAAATATTTTCACTTCTTAAATCATAACTCTGAAAGCCAAAGGATCTTTTGTGAACAAATAAATTTGCTGCTAATCATCTTTTATCTCATTTTTTTATCTGCAATACAAGAGGTACTGAAATCCTTACCTAGCGACCTTTTCTTCAATTATTCCCACGATAAAAAAAAAAAAAAAAAACCTGGAAACAAAGAGAGGTCAAAACACAGGAAACATTATACACTGAGTGTTAGAGATGTTACCTCACCATCTTTTATCTCATTTTTTTATCTGCAATACAAGAGGTACTGAAATCCTTACCTAGCTAGCGACCTTTCTTTCAATTATTCTGATGATAAAAAAAAGAAAACACCCTGGAAGCAAAGAAAGGTCAAAACACAGGAAACATTATACACTGAGTGTGAGAGATGGTAACTTACCTAAGATAAGAGGAGCTCACAAAGGATAGAGCCCACCGTACCCATGAAAATCTTTTCATGTTTTCCCACGACTTTCTTGAACTTCATACTCGAATTTCGGTACTTTCTTTAGTTAAGGAAGGAAATATATATATATATATATATATATATATATTATACATGAAATGACTACAAATCAAGAGAAAGGAAAAACTAGTTGGAGAGTACTGAAGATGTACCAAGTTCAAGAAAGCCGTGGAAAAGCATGCAACGATCCTTTCTTCACTGAAGAACACGCATTAATTCTCTTTTCCTCAACAATTCTGGAGAGGAAATGTAATTTTCTACGAAGAATAAAATGCAGAGAGGGAGAAGAGAGAAAAAAACAGAGGAAGCAACAACAGAAGAGATAAAAAGAAGTGGGCGGAGATCTGATCAACTGAAAGTGAGATTCCCTTTAAAGGGCCGGTGTGGGGATAGATGGTGGGGTTATTTGAACGTGCGGCTGACGAATATCGTGGGAACACGTGATCCGATGATGAGGTACGGGGTGGACCAACCAACGCGTGGCTCGAGGACAAAAGGATGGGTCAGGGTGGGGGGTCGTTGGTTACCGATGAGTCACGACCATCCTCTCCCTCCGCGCTGTATGCCGGATTGTGCGCTGCTTCCATTTTTGGGGCCTTTCTTTCACTCTGTTCTTCTGTTTCTGAAATTCCGATGGAGCCACCATTTTCGACACTCTTCACCATATTCCTATGCATACTTCAATACAACGGCTATGCGTATTTCCTAAGGAACATAATTTGTTTTTTTCTTTAATTTGTTAAACCGGTTAGGATAATAAATTTCTTCACAAAACTTGGAACAAAATCATTTTGGATTTCACACTAGATCTGTAAGGTAGTCGGTTAGTGCACTTAATATTTTGGTTAGTATCAATCAAATCTTGAACTATAGTAATATTATGCAAATATTGTCGTCTCCCTACCTTAAATTATAACCATTCAAAAAAATAAAATTATTTAGATTTGTAACAATTTAAGTGGTAGCTTTTTATTTAAATAAAGCAAAAAGATAAAAAAAAAAAAAAAAAGAAAAGAAAAGAAATGGTGGTCTTCTTTCTTCCAATCTAAAATAATGAAAAAAATATATATTGGATTGATGTGGTGTTGGGTTGAATGCTAAATTTGAGTTGGGCCTATGAAGCATTTGAATAGATTTCTACAATGATGTTTGTTTTAGAATTTTAACTGAAAACAAAAGCCATCTACTTTTATGAATTGATTTTTTTGAACAGAGAGAGGAAGTGTCATAACTCCAAAACCTATTACTCTTATGAATTAATTAGACACGATTAGATTAAAAATAATAATATTTTCTCTATTTTATCACATTTGATATTTTAATGTTTTATGCTTCAATTAAGCAACCACTTAATATAACAGTTAAAATTTAATAGATAATAAGTAATAAATTATAGGTGATAAATTTTGATTGATATAATTATTTAATTATATAAAAAGTAGTATAGTTGTTATTTAATTTAAATAATTAATAAAGAAATAATTAAAAACAATAAAGTGTATTTTATATATTTTTATTATTAATTATTGATATTATTAAGATAATAATAATATAATAATATAATAATATAATATAATAATATTATATTATAATATAAAAATATGAATCATACAATTATTTTTATTGTTAAATAGAGATACAAATGGAGACAAAGGAATAATAATAATAATAATAAAAATAAAAAGAAATATGAATTTGAGATATGAAAAGAGACAAAATAGACCCCTCCAATATAATGTTA